CTCGGCAAACCGCGAGTCGATTTTTTCCCGGACATCATCATGGGCAGGGCATAGCGTGCTTGTCGGAACCAAACGCAAGACTCCGTCCGCATGCCGGCGCCGCCCTGTGCACCCAGAGTGATGCCCCCCGGTCCAGGATCGTTCAGATTTCATACATTCCCTGACGACGTGCCATCAACAGTCTGTGTCATTCTGTGGGTCATTCTGTGCGCGACCAGTCATTCCGTGACGACATGTCATCAACGTCTCATCAACAGCGTGACGCCGGACCGCACCCACGGACACCGTGCACACGCGGGTGCGGTCCAGGTCCGAGCCTCTGTCGCTGTCGGGGCGGTGACACTCGCCTGGCTCGGATGCGACGCCGCACCATCAGCACGTGACTCGGAAACAGCGCCATCTGGCCACCGGTGACACGTGGCCGCGGAAGCACACCAGGCCAGCTGGTTAGCGTCCGGAGCGTGGCTTCAGCCCAGACTTCAGCCCAGACAGACAAGTGATGGCGTCTATCACTTGATGGTGATGTCACACAATCAACTTAACTATTATTAATAAACTAGTTCATGTTATTATACTATATTAATTGTTATACTGCGCTTAACGTCGTACGATATACTACTACGGTGTAATTAGTTACTGTCTACATTACATATTTTATATCATTAACTATATTAATTTCGCCTCAGTAGCTTCTCATTAGAAATATGTCTCTTCGGTAACATATCTCCCGGGTGACGGTTCCTGGTTCCTTGCTCCGGGACCAGGAAGAATTTGGGAATTAGTTTGGAATCAAGACGAATATCCATGAAGAACTAGGACCCAGTACGGAACTGCGCCAAAGGAGCCAGCAATGGCAGGGATCCAGCTTGACACTACGCCAATAGATCCGGCAGGAACCTAGATTCGGCGGCAACCTAGATCCAGCAGGAACCTAGATCTGGCAGGAGTCGAGACCTGGCAGGAACCTAGATCCGGCAGGAACCTAAATCTGGCACTAGCCGAGACCCGGCAGCATCCTAGATCCGACAGGGACCTAGATCTAGCAGGAGCCGAGATCTGGCAGGAACCTAGATCTGGCTTACAATGTGTTCAGTGATCCAGCATGGGTCACAGCCAAGGCTGGGATCCTGCTCAAGATCCAATGAGAGCCGAGTTTCAGTATAAAGTCAAGGGAACAGTAAGAACCAGGATCTTACCTGGAGTTCTGGCAAGGACCTAGCGTGCTAAGACGTGTGAAGTGCTGGGATTGACCACAAGAAAGTGAACATACGCAGCATTTTTACCTTTCCTTTCGTTTCATGAAAGTGCATGACGAAGCACGGCACGATTGGGCCGCACCTGTAGCGTGCCGGTGTGGCCAGCTCGACAGTGAGCTCGGCTCAGCCTGTAATGATGCAGCCGCCTTCTCCACCTGCCTCAGACTCGCGCCTGTACCACCATTGTACCAGTGCCATCTTTGTACCAGTGGCACCTGCAGCCGCCCGTACCAGCGCCTCGGCCAGGTTCGCGTGCACGCTCCGAGCGCCGCCACTCGGCCGGCGCTGACCAGCGATGATGGTCCTTGCCAGCAGGCGAGCAGCCTCGCCGGCGCTGTGCCGGCGCTGACCAGTGATGGTCCTCTGCCAGCAGGCTGAGCAGCCTCGCCGGCGCTGTGACGGCCGGCGCGACCAGTGTGATGGGCCTCCGCCACCAGGTTGAATTACCCCGCCCGGCGCTGTTACGTAAGGTGGACAGATAAACATCTGGGCCGAACCGACCGAGGCTGGCCTGCTGTGAGAGGAGGACACTGCTGGCCTCACTGCTGAGCATGCCGTGCCTGCTGCGCCGGCGGGCTCACGTGGAACGACGGGACGATGGCAGCAGAGGCGCATGGAGAGCGCGCTCGCAGCGAAGCCAGCGCGCTGACACCCGCCTCAAAGTGGCTTCCTTCGCTTTACCGCGGCTGAGCCGGGTCTCAGCGCCCGGCCGGCCCCACCGGCCAAGCTACGTCATCCGTGCGTGCGTGCCAGCCACAACCGCTATCAAGAGTCTGAATGACCCCCAGACGTCCCACAGCACCAGTGACTAGATGAGACGACCACGCCAAATGCTTGCTGATAGATCCCTGGACATGGTGGAGGGCAGCTGACCAGTTGCGTGCGTAAATGGCAAACACGCCCGGAAAAACGCATCCAACACGCCTAAGAATCTAATCTAACGTCTGTCTGACACCTGATATAACGCCACCGATATCTAATCTAACCTAAAAATCTACGTAATTTAACATCTAACACATCTAAAGCATCTAATACAAAACGCATCTAACACTGCCGACCATTCTGGGCGGGAGGAGAGTGCGACAGGACTGGGGCGGCCCTTTGGTTCTGTCACCCGGTGAATCACAGGTGACGGTCACAGGTCGCGCTGTGATCACGAGGCCACGTTTTTAGCGTCACGTGGCCGCAGTGGTTTTTATTTATCCCTCATCAATCTATCACAGGCGTTCTACCCAAAAATGTTTCAAATCGCATCGGTAAAAATTCGACAAGTCTTACGTGGAGTTTTTTTTTAGGTGCCGTACCTTTAAAGGGAGTCTTCCACATTTTGTAAGTTGTTTCTATTTAAACCGCATTGTTCACTACAAACACAACATCCAAAGAATTGAGCAAGTTGTCCAAAAAGTTGATATGTAGCATATCAGTACACTCCCCATACTATTCCAGTGTCATCAGAAGGCAAATCCACGCAATTATTGCACTTCTCGGCTGTGTCCAACTAAAACATATTGTCATGTAACACCTTCCTACTTTGGCGCCATGCCATGAATACGTCAGTACTGGGCAATCGCATGTCTACTGGCTTTGACGCCATGCATATGTATGTATCTGTGTGTGATGACGCCCGCCTGGTATCAATAACACGTCATGCGTTCCATGGACATACAATATGTATGTCTCCTGGTGTAACGCCACGCCCTGGTATCAATATGCACGTCATATGTTACATGACGCCATACGATATGCATTACCGACCGCCACCGAGACACCTGACGCCGCTCTCCACTTTGGGCGCCATACAACATGTATGTCGCGCTGTGCTACGATATGCTGCACGACATAAACCATTCCAAAAAACGTTCAGAAGCGATGCTCAAAGGAACGCGGAATAGTGCGGCACCTGTCCCACAAAAAAAACAGTCTGAGTGTTCACTATACGCCTGCACTATTCACCAAACAGCTCATTCGCTGCTGAGGGAACATTTCATGTCCGTGGTGAGCTCATGTTTGTTTGTTTGTTAACTCATTCTGCACTTCCAGGGGGTGCAGGCCACGTTATAAATCATCGGACTATTTAGATAAAGAGTCTAGTAGTCTGCGGGCTGCCATGGGCAAGCCGCTAATGATGCCTCAGCTGCATTCATTTCGACAAACAGTCCAATGCTACAGCGAACGACACTCAGAAATGGCCGCTTCCTCTAGGCCACCTGATCCTAGCGGCTATCACGCTCAGATAACCTGACTACCCTTGGCAACACTCTAAGCAGCGCCCGACACCACCCCTCCTCCACCACAGACTGCTGCGGAGCTTGCCATCACGCTTCCTCCCCCACACAGAATACCGCGGGGCCTGACGTCACCATTCTCCACCACATAGACTAACGCAGGGCCTAACAACTACCCACGTCCCCCACCACACAGACTACCGCGGAGCCAGACACAAGCCCCTCCCCCACAACAACACAGACTACCGAGGGCCGGACATCCCCGCTTCTCCACCGCGAAGTCTGCGTCCGCGCCCGGCGTCGTCGGCCCTGCCCTCCAGCCGTCGCACCACCGCCAGCGAGTACTCGTAGCCGAGGAAGGTGACGGCGTTCACGAGGACGCCCTGCCGGCCATGACGCCGAAGCCGGCGAGCAGAGCGCGGGACGTCCCGCAGCACGGTCATCTGCGCGCAATGCAGGCATGCCGCGGTACTGCGGCCCCAGCGCTGGGTCGTCCGCCTGCAAGCTTGGCTCTTCAGCACGTCCAGCGGGCAGAATCGAGGTCCAGGCGCCGACGCCGGCGACGCCGCCGGCCAGCAGGGCGGCGCTGGTGCGCGAGAGGCGCGCTCGCGCCGGCGAGCCTCCCCAGCTCAGCTTCTCGTACAGCGCGATGTTAAAGGCCGAACGAACCGACGTCTCGCGCGGCCATGGCGCCGGTGCCGCGGACCAGGCGCGCACGCCACCGCCGCGGGTACAAGCGCTGCCAGGCAAGCGAGCGGGCCGCGCGCCGGCGTGCGGTAGTGCGCGCGCCAGCTGGCGCCGCCGGTTCACGCTTCGTCTGCAGCTGGATCTTCACCAGGTCGACGGGCACGGCGACCACCAGCTGCGCCAGGCCGCCGACGCAGCCGGCGACGAACACGCGGCCGTAGGCGGGCCGGCCCGGCGGTCGTCGCGCGCGCCCAGCGCCCAGTCTAGCACTCGCAGCGAGTTCGAATACACGCCGAAGTAGAGCGCGTTCAACGCCCGTTCGCCGCCAGCGGGAAACGACATGCCCTTGAGGAGGCCGCGCGCTGCCTTCGTGGCGGAAACGTGTCGCGCACGGCGGCGGGTGGCGCTGACTGCCGAGCGTCTGCTGCAGGACCTTGACCGTGTCGGCCGGGTGGCCGACAAAACACGCCGGCCCGCGCCGCCCAGGCTGCCAGCCGCAAAACTCGTGCCAGAAGGATGGCGGGCCATGCGGCGGCCGGCGGCGCCCGGCGCGGAGTCCGTCACAGCGGCCGTCAGCAGGCTGCGCTGGAGTACCGGTGGGAGACCGGCAGTGGAGCTGCGCTGGAGCAACCGACAGGAGGGGGAGAGATGCTCTGGAGCACCGGCAGGAGACCGGCAGTGGAGCTGCGCTGGGAGCACCGACAGGAGAGGAGAGATGCGCTGGAGCACCGGCAGGAGGCCGGCAGTGGATCTGCGCTGGAGCACCGACAGGAGAGGAGAGATGCGCTGGACCACCGGCACGCTCTCCGACGAGGCGTTCTGTTCTCCGGCTCTCACGTTCTTCGGATCTCGCGTTATCCGGATCTCGCGTTCTCTCCGGATCTCGCGTTCTCCGGTTTCTCGCGTTCTCCGGGTATCGCGTTCCCCAGCGCGTGGCGCGATGGAACGGCGGGCTTGCGCCGGAGTGGCGGCGGGACCCTCGGCGGAGCTCACTCAATGATGCTGGGGTGTACACACCGTTGTTACACCGCTGTTACACTGCGCCAACCCTGTCACCACCGTCACCCCGGTACACAGCCCTGAATGAAGGCAGCCACCGGCAGACCCCCGCCGTCATCACCACACTCGGCCAACTGACGACAGTTTACGGCAGTAAACACCGTCCGTGCCGACCCTCGCCCCGTGGTAGCCATCAGAGCAGCGGATGCCTATCGCGTCTGGCAAGGCTCGTAAGAACAAGGGCTGGCCTGCGCTGTAGGCAGATGACCTCACATGAAAAAAATGTCGAGCATGGTGGTCGTGTGGGAGGAGGTGGAGTGACATGAAACACACTCTGAGTTCGATGGATTCGAGGTCAAATACCGCTAAACGAAACCAAGCTCAGAACATTTTTTATGCGCACTAGTACCACTAGTGCTCTATAACCGGTTTAAGTTACTAAAGCGATAATGCTCAGGATGGCTCAGCAACCTTGAAAACCAGAACTACTTTTAAAGCTTTAGACAAGCCGTGCAGAGAACCTAAAAAGTTATACGTGCCGTCCGGTAAAAAAAAAAATGTGGCAAAACACCACCAGCGGATAGTATTACCGACATTCGCAGGAGAATGATAGTAACGGGACCAGGAGCATCTGTGTACCGCGTTTATTCGCAACACATTTAGTCCTATGCAAAGTGTCGTACATAAACCTTCGTGCCACAGTTCTTAGTTATTAAAACGTGCTACGCAAATGGTCATTTCAAATTATTGTATCGCAAATTGTCATGCGGCATTGTTCGTTCAGGAATCTTTGTATTGTAACTTCTCGCGCACAAATAGTCGCACTTAAACATTGGCATTTGTAAAAAAGTTGCTCAATAGGCTTTCGTATCTGCAAAACTTAGCACGTGCGATTCTTTACATTCTTTTCCAGCATAAGCCTTTGTCTGAGTCCCATTCCTTGGTACATCATACACATGTCATTTGCACCACAGTTATGCATGCGCACAATATGTGCACAATGCTTAGTATTTCATTTCGTCGCGTACGCGATTCTTGTCATCGCATGCATCTGTGTTCGCGATTCATCGCATCACATTCGTTCGCACTCTACTCCTCCGTGTACACGTTTTTTTGCATTTTTCGCAAAACACATTTTAGGTCGCACGCAATTCTTTGCATGAAACGGCTTGTACTTAAAAGAAAAATGTCAGCATTTTCTGACCCTTCTCGTTATTCTGCTCTTCGTTCCACTTCAGATTCTTTCGCTGTTCCTCATCTAAACGATCCGTTGTTAAAGGTGCCGTTCTATCAACACACCGCGTTTATTATAGTTGCGTCCAAGCATGACACAGCATAGCTGGCAATGACATGACACCTAGTGGTTGACACCTAGTCATTCATTGATGCTAACGGCATCGGTGCGCCTATGCGTGGACAAGTAAGGAAATGTAGATAAATGTAAATAGAACAAAAAGTATTCCTACATCCTGGTTCCCATTGGTTTCTTCAATAAAGTAAGGCTTTGGAAACTGTCTTCCACCGGTTCTTTCGACAAATATACCCCGGATTTATGTTCCCACCGGTTCTTTCGACCAAACAATACCCTGGATTTTGCATCCCATTAGCTCCTTAGCAGACCATGAGCCCGTTTCCTGGGTCTCATCGGTTATTTCAAGCACATTAGACGTTGGACATTGATTCTCAGTGTTTTTCACAAACGTAGGTTCCCGATTCCTGATTCGCAGCCACACATTCAACACAGATCGTTTTCACACAGTTGACGCCACTAAGCATATGACCCCAACTCGCGAGACCTGCAGCGACTGAACCGCAAGACCGCATTAAAGACAACACCACACCGACTGCAAAAGAGCGCGGAAAAAATAAGACGAATACGGGGGTTCTGATGGATTCAGAGGTACAACAGGCGGTTGTGTGAGCTGCATGACTGTGTATACACGACTGCGGTCGTTGGCAGTTGCGTGAACGATGATGACGATCCAGCCTCACAAATGAATGCTCAGGGGGCTCCTGGCTATTCGGAAACCCACCGAATACAGCTGTGTTTGAGCCCCGACCAAGAGTGTTGCTTTATATAAATTCAGGGGGGGGGGGGGCTAAGCCCACTCATGCTGACTTGAGCCCACCAATCCTCCTCTGAACCCCTTCAAAGCATGCGAGCAAAAAGAAAATACTGGGCGAAATGAAAGCAGTAGAGATACATTAATTATTAGAATGTTAAGTGCACAAACGCATCGGTATCAGCCACGTCAATTTTGTATAATATAATATCCTGCTGTTACGTAATGTTTTTGTCTGATGCTAACCCGGACTGACAGAAAGGGAAACGCGTCCAGAGAGGAACGGATCACGAAGGGCAAAAGCTCCGCTGTCGGGATGTACAGTATGTTGCCCTTGGGCGGCTCTTCATATGCATATTCAAGGAGGGGCGTTGACGTCCTTCTGAGCTCTGTGCGTCCCTCTGACCTCAGTGAACTCGTAAATACCAGACAGCGACGGCTGACCTATGACGTAAGCGCAACACGGTCCACCATAAACACCGTAAGAACAGACTATAAACAAACACAATCATCACAGAATACCAGACGTATGTACTCTGCAACTGCACATGTCTGAGCCACCTGGCGGAGACCCGCTCGTCAGTGTTGACCTCAAACTGCAGCACCAACCCCTCCCCACGCACATCACTCCTGGAGGGTGACGCGTCGCAAGTGTTTCGGTGATGATGCTTGTTTGCCCTTTCTGCGTGAAGTATCTGGGGGCACCAGGGCCCCATTGAAGAATCTTTTCGCCGATGATGCGATATCCCGATTTTAAATGGGGATGTCGGGGGCCGGTCGTTGGGGAGGAGAGGGGTACACCGCACGCAGCGAATGGCGCGGTGTCATGCAACGGGGCCAGTCATTGAAGCAATAGGTAAAGCCGAGCCGAAAGCTTCAGCACAAGCCCTGTGGGATGACGTTTGCCAGCTGGTTGTTTTTTAAATGGACGTTTTTGAACAGCTGACCTACAGAAGAAACTTAGATCGGGATATTTTAATTGACCAATTCGCCGGATAGAGAATAAGATATGCGATTTATATCAAACATGTATTTGAAACTGCAGCCCCTCCGTCAGTTGAACTTGCCGGACGAAGTTTTGTTACATATGCTTTCGGCCAGCTGGCGTCTCTCCGATAGCCGTTTTGGGAGGTACCTAGCCCGCAGAAAAAGTATGCATTTGATAAGGCTTTAAATTGGGAGAAGAGAGAGAGAGATAGAGAGAGAGGAGGAGAGAGAGAGGAGAGAGAGAGAGAGAGAAGAGAGAGCGAGAGAGAGAGAGAGAGAGAGAAGAGAGGAGAGAGAGGAGAGAGAGCGGAGAGATATATATATGTGTCTATATGTATATATATATATATATATATATATATATATATATGTATATATATGTATATATACATATATATACATATATATACATATGTATATATATATATACATATGTGTGTGTGTGTGTGGTGTGTGTGTGTGTGTGTGTGTGTGTGTGTGTGTGTGTGTGTGTGTGTGTGTGTGTGTGTGTGTGGTGTGTGTGTGTGTGTGTGTGTGTGTGGTGTGTGTGTGTGTGTGTGGTGTGTGTGTGTGTGTGTGGTGTGTGTGTGTGTGTGTGTGGTGTGTGTGTGTGTGTGTGTTGTGTGTGTGTGTGTGTGTGTGTGTGTGTGTGTGTGTGTGTGTGTGTGGTGTGTGTGTGTGTGTGTGTGTGTGTGTGTGTGTGTGTGTGTGTGTGTGTGTGTGTGTGTGTGTGTGTGGTGTGTGTGTGTGTGTGTGTGTGTTGTGTGTGGTGTGTGTGTGTGTGTGTGTGGTGTGTGTGTGTGTGTGTGTGTGTGTGTGTGGGTGTGTGTGTGGTGTGTGTGTGTGTGTGGTGTGTGTATTCTTTGTAAGGAATAGACTCGAAATTTTTACAGTTCTATGCCAGCAGGCTCGTCAGCCGACGTTTCGTTTACATTTGCGCCGCGGCTGTTTCTTGGGCATCTACGAAATGAAGGGCCGCACCCCAGCTTCACATTACGGAGGTCAAAGTCGGACCGAGTAAACACGCCACGTTGGGAGACGTTTCGTCACTGGAGAATGTCCTGTTAACATGCCGTAGTGGGGGTAAAGGGGGATGGTCTGTGCATGTTCCCGTTTCTTCAAAAACCATATCTAAGACACACATACACACACACACACACACACACACACACACACGCGCGCATAGTCTGTGCATGTTCCCGTTTCTTCAAAACCATATCTAAGACACACATACACACACACACGCGCGCGCGCACGCGCACGCATACACGCATGGACGTACGTAAGCACGCACGCACGCAAGCATGCACGAACGCACACACGATCACAGAACTTGGTGAAACGCCGCTGTGGCTGAGTGGCCATGTGTTTGTGATGGCCAGAAGTATCCCTTGTAGGATTTATTGCCCCACTTTCCAGTTGAAAGTTGACGCCCCCTACCTCGTATGCTACGTCCTACCGTCTTTCCGCCGCTTGGACCAAAGCTACTAGAGTTAAGAGAAAACCGATGAATTGTTATGCAGGCTTTCGGTGCGTGCGTTTGTGTTTGTTTCTGAGCTGCTGAGACTTCATGGACCCATGGAGCACACCGCGCGTTGCCGCCCACACCACACATGCATTGTAGCTTCAGAACTGATCTCAGTCTGTCGCTATCGTTGAAAGTCGTGCCGCCTTGAAAGTGTCCGAGATGTCACTGAATGCGGGGGGTATCACCCATGTGTTGTTTCGATTTAGAATCATAATCGACTGAAGATCCACCGTTATGCTTCCATATACAAAATCGGGTTATTTTTTGCATACAGTCCTTGGAAATGGGAAACAGGCGGAATTTGTGTTCGCAATCCAATTCAATCGTCAACTGTTTTTGTTTTTTCCGCTTTTTTCCTTTACGTAGATGTCTTCTTAGTGAGCTCGATGCATAAGTGTGGTCTGGCAGAATTTGGCTTCCTTGGGTTCATAAAACGTTATTAATTTCCAAAATGCCATTCCACTCAAAATATCAATACCATATATGAACATTCGAAATATCATTTCAACAAGTCATAAATCACTGTCCACTGGCGTGGTTACGTAAAATGGGTTGGTAATAAAAAAATAGGAATGAAGAAACGCACCCCAAAAACACACCAATAAACGTATTTCTCCCCTGATCCGGCCCACTGTTTCTCATCGGTCGGCGGGAGGCTGGAGCCCACGCTGGGGCTGGGGGCTAAATAACAGGATCTATATCCCAACTAACAGGATATTGCCATTCCTGATTGTCCAAATTGATACATTGCCAGCGACGAATAGCCTGTGCGCTGTTTGCCCATGTTTAGGCTTATTTTTCACCAACACCATGTAAAGCCGACGCACCACGTGTGGGAGACGAGCACAGGTATAGCTTCCTCTGCCACTGCCATTGACTCAGGGGCGGATCTAGGATGTTGTCGAGGGGAGATCACTTGACTCAGGGGCGGATCCAGGATGCCGTTGAGGGGAGACCACCTGACTCAGAGGCAGATCCAGGATGCTGTCGAGGGGAGACCACTTGACTCAGGGGCGGATCCAGGATGCTGTCGAGGGGAGACCACTTGACGTAAGTTCGTCAAATCGGCAATATGTTCAGGCTCATATTCAGACTGATGTTCACGAACTTGATGTGCCACGGCCACGTCAAAGCCCCGTGCTACGCCTCGCAATGCCAGTGACTGCCTGCGTCGTCTTGAGAAGGTTATCCGTCCCCCTCCCCCCAAAAAAAAATGGGAACCCTCTTGTGCCCAACCCAAAGGTTTCGTAACTTCCGTAGACTGCTCGAATTCAGAACAAGGAAGCCCGAATAATTGAGCTTGTGGGGTGAAATCAAGCTCAGAAGACCGTTTTCTACATCTAGAGGTCTGTCTCTAGTTCATGGGATCGCCTCCGTGAATAAGATAGCCCATGCTCTAGATCAGGACGTCCAGTTCTTGTTTTACTGGCTCATGACGATGCCGTAATGAACTAGAAGGCCACTGCTCTTGATTACGAGGCACCTTCTATACATCAGTAAACACCTTTCGTGTATCAGATGGCCGCAGTTCCAAATAAGCCTCAGGATAACGAAGGCCTTAGCTGTTTGGAGGTTCCTTTGGAACTGGAAGAAACTCGTTCTAGATAAGGAGCCCCTTTATGAACCAGGAGGCCCTATTCTGGGACAGAAGACCCCGTTTTGGAAGAGGGAGGTCATAAGCTGGTTCGATAACTCTCTCGAACTAATCAGAATGTCGCTAATCTGGGCATCGATATATGTAACAAACTGACAAAGAAGTACGTGGCCCCGTTATCACCGCGCCCCACCCCCAGCCACTCCACCCCACCCTCCACCCCCACCAACGCCATTTCATCTGACACTCCCCAGGGGACTCCCCCGTGAGGGGATCCAGTTTTTCCAGGAGATCCCTAAAAATCCTACCACCAACTGGTATTCTGTGGTCCCTCCCCCAGCTTATCGTGAATGATGCGGAAATGAAGAAAAAAATGATGCCAAAAATAAAGTGCCTGGCACATGCAGTCATGTCGCAGTTAGTAAATATTTTGATAAAGCCGATTGAAGATGGAAAATAAGGAGTAGGACGGGGAAGACGGCGAAAAGAACGCCATGCTGGAGGAGGAAATAGCGCACCATGCTAGAGCTCTGAAGCTTTACACTTTACGCACTAGCACAATAGTAGAGTAAAGTCACAGCAGTTCCGCGTCAATTTTTGTTCTGGCGGGATCCACCTTCTTACACATCCATCCGGCCATGATCCTCGTGCAAACCCTGACACCAGCGCCCTGTGGTCAGTTATCGGCTATCAGTTGTAGCTATCGTCTATCACCTGTGATGAGCTATCAGATATCACCTGTTGCCATCATGTCTTCGATAAATAACACAAAATGTGATAAAGTTGCCGGTACACGTATTACACTCGACAGAGCGTGGCCCTACACACAACCAAAAAATGGTACCATGTGTATATCTAAATAAGATAAAAACGGCACTTTTAAACGATAAGAGAATTCAACATCATTTTATGTCCATGAAAAGAAGCGAGGCTCGGCTGAAAAATGGAGTCATCATAGCCGGGTAGAAAATTGTGTTGTTGACGGGGAGGGAGTATTGGTGCGGCAAATACTTGAAAAATTGTATCTACGCTCCCCTCCCACCCCTACAAGTCCTGACTACCCCAGTTACGTTGGACTACTCTGAAATTTATCATGACAAGTATTTGCCATGTCTCCGATGTCTCTGATTGTCGGCTACCCCAAACTAAACCCGAAGGTTCCCACTCCAAACTTCAGATCGAACCCATTATGTGATGAAGTTACGCGCTTTATGTATTACGTTCGACAGCATGCGGCTAGCTACATGCGCCGACTATGTGTTTCGGAGACTGCTGCAGAGCGGCCCGCTTAGAACGCTCTTGGAGCGTCGCAGTTGGGCTGCTTTTGTTCCGTATCTGCTGAATGATGCGCTGGGCTGCGCTGAGTGGATGAATGAATGACCTGGGCTGCGCTGAGTGGATGAATGAATGACCTGGGCTGCGCTGAGTTGATGAATGAATGACCTGGGCTGCGCTGAGTGGATGAATGAATGACCTGGGCTGCGCTGAGTTGATGAATGAATGACCTGGGCTGCGCTGAGTGGATGAATGAATGACCTGAGCTGCGCTGAGTGGATGAATGAATGACCTGGGCTGCGCTGAGCGGATGAATGAATGACCTGGGCTGCACTGAGTGGATGCATGAATGACCTGGGCTGCGCTGAGTGGATGCATGAATGACCTGGGCTGCCCTGAGTGGATGATTGAATGACCTGGCTGCGCTGAGTGGATGAATGAATGACCTGGGCAGCGCTGAGTGGATGAATGAATGACCTGGGCAGCGCTGAGTTGATGAATGAATGACCTGGGCTGCTGAATGTCCCGCCACGCGTCTGGTATTCGCCACCGTCGTATGTGGCACACGCAACAAGAAGAGCTGATCCAACTGTGCCATTCAAAGGCCAGCTGTACACAGAAACGCTTGTGAGCGCTTATGCAACTGCTCGCTGTTGTCTTAGCAGAATTGTGTTCGCTGTTAAGCTACCCCCTCCGCCACCGGAAGCCCACTGGTGCGCCTGAATAACGGCTGCGTGCACCACCAACACCAACACGCGACTTCTAAGTGGCCAGCGTTCAACAGTGCTTGGCAATAATGGCAACAATGCATGTACTTGTGCACGGCAGGCAAGCGGCGCGACATTCCTAAAATTAAATGTAGATTACTTGAATCCATAGTCTAGCAATGGTTGAACCATGACTTTGAAGTCCATTCTTGACCAAATTGGACTTGGATCCGTGCCTGCCAGCAGCCCATATTATGCGTATGAGGGAAAGTGGTCTGATCATCATGGCACCCATTCTTGTCTTAGTAGGAATGTTTCTTGAGTCTCAAAATATCACCATAACATATGATCAAATCAGGTAGTTTCGATGAGACTATTTGAGCGCTTAGAAGCCACTGTTGATCTGAACTGTGTTGATCTGATCACTGATCCGTGCCTGCGAACAGCCCATATTATGCGTATGAAGGGAAGTGGTCTGATCATCATGACGCCCATTCTTGTTTTAGCAGGAATGCTTCTCGAGTCTCAAAATATCACCATAACACATGGTCAAATCAGGTAGTTTCGACCACACTATTTGAACGCTTAGAAGCCAGTTTCTCAACCGTGCCCACAATATGTGTCTCACACTGTGTCCTGACAGAAAACGCGCGAATCAAGTTAGAGTTTATTGAGTCATTCTTAAAACGTCGTGAACGGTAAGACTATTCGCACTCACAGGTTCCTCACCCACGTAGTTTCCGTGATCGAGCGAAGGTGCGCTTCACGAACTGTCTGTCTACGAGCGGCCTCCAGAGGGCGCCCAACGCCCCAGCGGACGCAGTCAGTATAAGGCACGGTCGCGGATTGCGGACAGCGGCTTAGAACGCGCATGCGCAAATGAGGGAGCTCTCGCCGATTTGCTGCTCGCGCTATCCCACCTCGTGACGCAACACAGAGGCCCAACTGCGACGATGATTGCTCATGGACGGTGACGCGGCGCGGGCGACGGACGCACGGGCACGAGGTCAAGGGCCGGTGCCCCGTCCGCCCTCCGGGCACGCGGTCAAGAGGGAGCTGGGAGCCACGACTTAAAATCCGGGCTCGCGGAGAAGGGCCGGCTGATTGTCACGTCTAGAACACACCGAAATGAGCTCCGGCAAGGGTTCTGTGACGCAGCGAGCGAAACCCGCTACCGACACCGAAGGTCTGCGAGGAAAGGGCACGCAGACGGCGGAGACGCCGCCCACACTTGGTCACGTGACACGCGCAGAGCTCAGGTCCCGCCCGTCCTGAGAATCGGCCGCCAGCTAGTCCCGCACGAGGGCCGGCAGGGCGTCGCGCGCGAAACGTCACGTTACGTGACGTCACATCAAAGGGCTGTCGGGGTTACTGGAGACTGATCACGCACTTGATAGACGTCCGGAAATAAAGAGTATCTAACAAAAACAGCTATTGCGCCGGGTCCGCTTCAAACAGTATAAATCACGAGCTCAGGATACACGGCATAATAATGCTACGATAAATGTATATCTGTGATTGCTCTCTGCCGTATGCCGCAGGGATCGGACCGCCACGTGGGCTCGGATGGTCACGCGAATCCACAACACGCGGAGCAACGATCGACAGACACACCGGAACGCGCCGGGCCGTGACGTCACACAACATGGCGGCCGGCCGGTCACAACATCATACAACATGGCGGCAGTGGCGAGAGCCGTGACGTCACCCAACAAGAAATCCAACCACCAAAAACCTAGCCTACCCCGGCATCACATGGTGCGGCGGTCGCACGCGCCCCGGAGCCCGCCGGAGCAAGATGGCCGCCGTTGCGCACTGTCCCTGCCCAAGATGGCGACCGCTTCAACGTCGCATCAAAAGTCAGCATCCCAGCCAGAAAGGTCGTCTTGCGGCAGCGGCTCGGTGTCCGGTGGGTAGTCGTCGAAGTTGGACGAGTCCAACACGGACCTGCGCGGGGAGGCAGTCCTTAGGTGAGCGCGTGCAATAGGTTGACGAAATTATTGTCATGCTGATGAAAATGAGCCCTGTTAGTTTTTGTAAGCGTATATTTTCAGTGCATACCCTTCGTCCATGTATGAGTTTGCGATGTTGCTGCTGTCTATAGGTAACGCAGACTGGATAAACCTAGACGAAACAACAAACGAAGACCTGCTTCAAAGCTCATGACACAAAATGCAGCTGAAAGCTCCTGAAAGCCTGCTTGGATATCCGGGGGTGGGGCTTACCACACCCAAACAGCTTCTCATAAGCTGGCATTTCTTTATTTATAACCAAATACCAAAATCCATCATTTCTCTAAATGACTGAAAAATATATCCAGGGATATCTTCAGATGGGAGCGTACGATACCCCGACCAATTTTCGAAAGCTGACAATGAGGTCTCTTTGTAACACAAACATAAAATGTTACATTCACACCAGACTCTAAAGCAGTCTACTCAAGAGTCGATATCAGCTCGCAGTCTGAAGACGCTCTGTAGCCCAGCCCCGAAGCCAAATCTCCCACAGCGCCGGGTGTAGGCACAGTTGGCGCCAGGTCAACACCAGGTCCTAAAGACGACGATGACCCGTTCCGAGACCCGCCAGCCGGCGCCCGCCACCCGCCGCCGTGGCTCACCTGATGTGCGGTATGATGGGAGGCGTGAGGGTGCGTGCGATCAGGCCCTCCCAGTTGAAGCCGTCGAACCACCTGTCAACGGACGACGGCGGTGACATCTAGCGACAGCGACGGTGACTTATGACTAGCGACAGCAGCGACATCTGCATACATCGAATCCCGGTGGCCTCCCGTTCTGCCGCGCTTGGCCGAAAACAGAGCTGCATCCACATAATAATACTGCGGAAGGAACTGATTGCTGCTAGACCACGCTGCACGGAAAACTGCAAATTTCGCCGATTTCACTCGTTCGACACCGACGTCGTTTTGATGAATAAGTCCAGATTAACTGAGAAGCCCGACGTGGTAAAATTTGCAGACACACGAAACACCACAGCCTGCGTCCATATGGCCGCACCACACCGTGCACGCAAAAATGTGTGTGCAAGGACTCACCCAGAAATGTCGCGCACACAATCGACAAACTCTTGCAGGCAGGCCTGCGGTCATTAAAAAACTGAATGTCCATTCCTTCCATACGCTCAGCGCTGAAGCAGCATGTGGAGGATACTGGGGCCGATCTCAAGCCTACATAAATTCACATTTCAGGTGGCTTTTACTCCTTCCTGTCCATTCCCCGTGCCTGTAGGTGACACGTACCACACTCTTGATAGTGGGACAGCTCGACACAGGCCCTCAGCGTCTCTAACATTCACCAAAGACCAGGCGGGTACCATGTCATAAGACCGGCCCTACCGACTCCGACGCGCCCCACACAGATCAGATCCTAACAGATCCAGATCCAAATCCAGATCTAGATCCAGCGGAGCGACACGGATTGACCGCGGGCGCGGCGCGCGCTCACTTGTGCTTCTGGATGTCCCGAATGCCGCCCTTCTGATAGCCGAGCCTCTCGGCCGGGTTGTCGCGGCAGAGTTTCTTGATGAGCGCCGTGGCCGTGCGCGTGATGTTGCGGGGGAACTCGATGGCGTCGATGCCCTTCAAGATGATGTTGTACGTCTTCATCGGGTCCGGGCCAGTGAATGGAGGCGTTCCTGGCAGCGAGTCAGGCGTCAGAGGGAGGAAAACGAGCGGTAGAGGGATGCGAACGGGTGTCAAAGGGAGAAGAACGGGCGACGGAGAAGGAGGAACGGTATTGAGTTATTGGACATTTGCGAGTTCTGAAGACGGTGAGTTTATCCCGGTCGAGATGTTGATATAATCTGTTGCTTATAGAGCCATGCAGTCAGTGATAAGTCGCGTGAATATATCTGATCATTGCCGTTTTGTGAAACAAGACCGAATGCATCATCAGCGATATATAACTGATCAAATGTACAAAAAGCGGCGAGCAGCATTCATACAACACAACGAGAATGAGGAGGCGCATCCAACATCATACAGGGCTTGAAGTTGTATTATCATAAGCGTTCAAACATCCACGTGCACACTATTTCTCTCCAGGTTCTGCACAGCTCATGTACCACCCCAATCGCAGCCGAAAGCACAGCCATCCCAAAACGCATGCTGCTTTCCTCACAGCAATCGCTCAACACAACGTACAGCGCTTCTCTCCACGCTCACCGCTTCTCAATGGACCCGCATCGCTCACCGTCTCTTAATGGACCAGCGTTACTCACCATTTCTCAATAGACCCGCGTTGCTCACCGTTTCTCAATGGACTCGCGTTGCTCACCATCCCTCAATGGACCAGCGTCGCTCACCGTCTCTCAATGGACCCGCGGTGCTCACGGTCCCCTCCGCGTCTCTCACCGGTGAGCAGCTCGAACATGAGGACGCCGAGGGACCAGTAGTCAGCCGAAATGTCGTGGCCCTTGTTGAGGATGATCTCGGGCGCCACGTACTCGGGCGTGCCGCAGAAGGTCCACGTCTTGCGGCCCACCTGCACACCACGCACCAAAGCCACGTCCGGTCAGGTCCAGGCGGGGCAGGGCGGAGTCACGCCAGGTCGGGTCGGGCCACATACAGCCAGGGCCGGTACAGCGGCACGCCCCTTATCAGGCCGCCTTTACGTCGGGTGGGTCAAGTTAGGTCGCGTGTCGTGTCAGTTGAGGTCAGGTCAGGTCACTTCAGGCCATGCCGAGTGTCGGGCCCGGGCAGGTCACAGGTCAGGAACCAGGTGCCACTACACTTGACATTCAGGCCAGGCGGCTGCAAGACGGCGCGATGAGAAGAAGCGCAGCACATTGCCACAGGTTTTCAAGAATCCTCTGGTAAATTCATAGTTCAGGTAATCAAGGCTCGCATGGATGGCTACAATAAAGTAAGCTTAAGTTATAGACACAACCAAGGATAAGGCATACATGTCTGCTAAGGCTAACTATTCACAATGCGTGGCGTAGACTTGCGTAAAAAGTCGCTCTTAGAGATCTTAATCACCTATTCATCCGTTGTGCCATTTGCAAGCGGACACAAAGGCAACCAATACGAAAATCCCTGCATTCGCTAACAACCAGTCTTACCAGCAGTTTCTTGGCGAAGCCGAAGTCCACCAGCTTGACGTAGCCTCTGTTGTCGAGCAGCAGGTTTCTCCGGCTTCAGGTCGCGGATAGATGATGCCGCGCGCGTGCAGATAGTCGAAGGCCTCGACCACGCAGGCCGTGTAGAACCGTGTGGTGGCGTCGTCAAAGTTGCCCCGGTCCCTGCGGATGCAGGGACATCCAGCGACGCTTCAGCACGTGTTTTCGCAAAAGAAATGCGCGAGGGAGTAGCGGGTTATTCAAGACGTCACATCATGCCAGGACGGGTCGGCCTGTCGAAGATGGCGCTTAACTCAGCACACAGACTCATGTTGACACCGGTCGTCTGTATCGAAGGTCAATACGCACTTGCATGTGTGTGCGTACGCGTGTGGGTGTGCGTGTGAATGTGTGTGCGTGCGCATCTGCGTGCGTATGCGCGCGCGTTGAATGCAGTCCCAGGAAAGTTTACGTTCGCGCTGGAAAAATATGGCGCGTTTCTTCGAGTTAGGTTGTTCTAACGCATTTGTTGGTTGCTTGATGCTTGTTCGATGCCTGGATTGGATGCTTGGCTTCAATATAGGTGAGCCGCACAAATGACGCGCCTGTCATGTTTCAAGAGGAACTTGAAGTGCTAGGGCCTTATAGTGCATAAGATGGGATAACGCTTAGAGTGCGTTATATACTAGGTGTTATATTAACACTTAGAATTGACATCCAGATGGCGTTTTGCTTTGATTCATCATGCAAAGGCAGCCTTGAGCTTCCCAGATGTTTGACCCAACAGCTGTACTGCTTCTTCAATGCTGAGATGCCGAGAACATTATCAGTTTGCGACATCCTCTAGCACTAAAGCTTGAAACGCATCCCAGCTAATCAACGCTAATGAAAACGTTAGCAGCAAAAACACAATGGCCCAGGACTGTCATTTGTGTGACGCGCTCCATCTACATAGTTAGTGAGTACATGTGGCGACATCTATGCCAAGGCGGAGGCCTTAATGTGTGCGCGCAGGGCGCTGATAAAAACGGCGCTCGATACGTGCCGCGTCATTACTGTATATTGCATACTTTTGGGCCCTCCTGGGCTCATCGGATCACTGTTTTACATTCTTTGTTCATTCGGGACTATGTCGTCAAAGTCAACGAATATATCGTTAAGGCACCCATTGTTCGTTCGGGAAATGTCGTTCAACGCTGCCATCGTCGATGACGAGTACGCTACTACAAACTCTACATCTCCGCCAGGAATGATAGCCCACGACTTGCGACGCACATACCAGCACGAACTGGTTTTACGTACAAATTTTCGAAGTCTGATTATGGGTACATTCCGAGACTGATGTTGCGCAATGCACCCATCATCAAAGTGTACCCACCAATGCACCCATTAATGTACCCATCATCAAAGTGCCCACCCTCCGATGTCGAAGAATTGGGTTTTTAGAGCGGGCCGAATACCCTGGCCATATGGCGCCCAAATGGCCTCTTTCCAAAACCGATATTAGTGATAACCTCATGCTTGCGCTGCCCCTTAATACCGTACATCCTATGTTCTCCAAGTTTTGCCTTTCTTCCCTACACTAAAGCGGTCCACACAATGAAAAAATGTCGGGTGCCTACCTCAGTATTGTCCAGAGCTCTCCTCCCATGCACGACTCCATCAGCATGTAGAGGTACTTGCGGTCCTTGAACGTCTTGAACAGCTTGACGATGAAGTCGCAGTTGGCCTCCTCCATGATCTCCTTCTCTGACATGATGTGCTGCTGTTGGCGAGTCTCCACGATCTGCGGAAGTGGCAGGCGATGTTCACCCCGCAACGAGTGGCACCGTTTTGAAGACGGGACATATTTCGCCTCCCCGCCAAATGTATTTGTTGAGATTTAAACAAAGTCGCTGCATCATCTAGTCTCCATACCTTTACCTCCAGTTCGCTAGACAATATGGTGACTATTTATTAGTTTCCATGCTAAATTTGCTGCGCACAGAGTACCACAATGTTCGCGGCGTTGAAGTATAGTAAGACAAGAATGCATCATCGTCATCATATGCATTGTCATCGGTCACAGAACGCTAACGTGAATTTAATTTGACGGCGAAAGATGTTTTGGCATGACGCGACACGACATGGTGCGGGACAAAGGGCACAAGGCCCCATCTGCGCATCCATGTCGTCGTCGTTTTACAGGCGTCTCCTTCCCCTCCTTCACGGCGAAGGAGCGGAACCCCGCCACCAGCAGGCTCTACCCTGCGCTCACCTGAGTCTTCTTCATCTGCCTGAGTGCGAAGGAGCGCGACTCACCCTCCACCACCTGCGCCGGCAGGCTCTCCCCCGTGCTCACCTGGGCCTTCTTCATCTGCTTGAGCGCGAAGGAGCGCGACTCACCCTCCACCACCTGCATCGGCAGGCTCTCCCACGTGCTCACCTGGGCCTTCTTCATCTGCTTTAGCGCGAAGGAGCGCGATTCACCATCCACCACCTGCATCGGCAGGCTCTCCCACGTGCTCACCTGGGGCTTCTTCATCTGCTTTAGCGCGAAGGAGCGCGACTCACCCTCCACCATCTGCATTGGCAGGATCTTCCCCGTGCTTACCTGGGCCTTCTTCATCTGCTTTAGCGCGAAGGAACGCGACTTATCCGCCACCATCTGCACCAGCTCCACGCGGCCGAAGCCTCCGACGCCCAGCGTGGCGATCACGGCCAGGTCGGAGAGCTTCACGTCGGCAAACTCGTGGTTGATCCTGCCGCAGGCGCCGGCGTCAGCGGAGGGTGACGTCACAGGGGTCACGGCGGACAGGTCACGAGGGTCGCACCGGTCGCCGTCACCGTCGATTGTCCGCTTCGAGAGACACGACGCTCGTAAGGGCCAAAGGTATGACAGGAGAGGGTGGATGGGGAGGGGGGGGGGGGTCACAAAGACCGCAGGTGGTTCCGCGGGTGCAGGGGTCGCACAGGTCGCAGTGGGGTCACAACACAAGGCACCACAGGGTCCGCCAGCAACAGACGCCGGGCTTACAACGGCAGCACGGACGGAGGGCATTCCAGCCACCGCGTATCGCACCGCACTGACGACAGCGAGATCCAGGAATGTGACGCCGCGGACATTGCCACAGACAAGGCCACACGTGTGCCACGCAGGACAAGGCCACACGTGTGCCACATACCACAGGGGACTACCTGTGTCGACAGAATACGGCAATAAATCCAGCTCGCTTCGCACAAGAAGCTCATCAATATCGGCCCTGCCACCCGCCCCACGACAGGAGGTCACCAGGGCGTAACTCCCCAACCACAGGAGGTCAGCAGCGCGTAACTGAAATCCGCGAACGACCGCATTCTGCCTGGCAACGCCGCCCCATGGGGAGCGTGATAGCGACGGCGTAGCTCCGGCCCGGGCACGGCGCGGCGCGACAACACCAGACACGTGGCGCGAGGCGCGCGGGACTGGAGCGAACGGGACCCGGACGAGCTACGGGCGCGATCATGATCGTGATCATGATCATGATCATGATTATGACCATGATCATGACCATGATCACCGCCCGGCCATGATCGAAAGCGACGGCAGCAATCGGTGGGTGGAATCTGTTAATGTCGTTCTTTTAAAAGGTGGTTTGGAATGCGAATCGCTACGACTATGGCCGTGAGAGATTGGGCAATACAAAACCACGCGCGCGCGTTGTACAAACCACCGCGACTAACCACGCGCGCGCGTTGTACAACCACCGCGACTAACATTCCCGCCACAGCAACTGCGGCCAACACCCAGCGGCAGTTTTCTCAAGAGGCCGTGAGTTTTACGACAGACTGGCATTTATCTAGACATACAGACAGACGGACAACAGACAGGCAGACAGACAGACAGACAGACAGGCCAACAGACAGACAGACACACAATCGGACGGACGGACGGACAGACAGACAGACAGACAGACAGACAGACAGACAGGCAGACAGACAGACAGACAGACAGACAGACAGACAGACAGACAGACAGACAGACAGACAGACAGACAGACAGACAGACAGACAGACAGACAGACAGACAGACAGCCAACCAGCCAGCCAGGCAACCAACCAACCAGCCAGCCAGCCAGACAGCCAGACAGCCAGCCAGCCAGCCAGCCAGACAGCCAGCCAGCCAGCCAGCCAGCCAGCCAGACAGACAGCCAAACAGACAGACGGACAGACAGGCAGACGTACCACTGTCAGCACGTCACGGCACCGCCCCAACAGTGCGGTGCTCGTCGAGCGACGCCGGACGGAGGGCATGACCCGGTCGCTCGTTCCCATGAAAGTTCGAACGCGCTTGACAGCGTGCATGCATACACTGGCGAGTACCCAGCTATACAGCTACGCACAGCCGGCGCAGCGGGTGGCGCATCGTGCAAAAACACTGCACACAGCGTGCCTCTGCACCAACGGCCGAGGCAGTCTCGAAGGCGCGACTAAACGCGTCATCAGAGCCAATTTTATGTTCTGAGACATCCCTTTTTACCGTCGACCATAGCTACGTGGGGCTGTGAAACCAGCGACACGTCACAACAGCACAACGCCACGGCACAGCCACTGGAGTTCCGTGAAGTCCACACGCAGCTCTACAAAACGTGCGAGCTAATTGGGAAAAGAGCACAACACATGCCACATAGAATACAACGGAAAAACACAAGACACACCGCACAAGATGCCACATAACATACACATACGTTGGTCCGTACCTTTGACTTCCACTCAAGAACAAAAAGCTGACGGGAGCCCAAATCAAACGCATGAGCCAAACCGAGCCGAGGGCTCGAGGAAATAATCACAAAACCATTGGAAATAACCACAAAACCATACAGAATAAGGCTGACGTCTCTTAGCGTGACGCCGCGCAGTTACACAAAAACGCTAAGCGAATGACATCAGAAGAAACGAGCAAAAACGATAAGCATCCAGACGCAAGCGCGCTTAATAGACAGGACGGGAACGGCGTGAATTGTGAAGCGCGACTAACGGGTCGAACCTGATGAACTCAAGCCATGAGATAGCCTTTAAGCCTGAAGCATACCCAGGTTCCAAACACCATGCTGTGCCATGGAAGACATCAACGTCGCATTATTCCCGTCGCGAGGGGAAATGCCATGTAGAAACCCAGAGCTTTGAACCCAACTATGACTCTGACTAACGACTAATATAACGCAACTATAACGCAGCACACAATGGCGCAATGACTAGCGAAACAAAAGTGGAGATGCCATGAGCTTCATGCCAGTAGGAATGCAAACACGGCCGGAGGAACAAGGCGCTTATCACTTGATACGAGCCAGCTAAGGCCCCCCCCCCTCCCCCCCGTAAATTACGACTACGACCACTACTTGGATGCCTGTGCTCGTTAACGTGGAAATTCTTCAGTTTGCAACTCTTCGCACTTAACGCCGCTACTGGAAGATCTCGTTGGACTCAAGAAAGACAACTATTCCGATTGTCATATATCATTGGTATCCTCACTAATATGCCTCCATGAAACTATCCTTTTTCACCATACCACAGCAGCGATAAAAACAACTACATGTTTCTCGCCTACCCTGGCCTGCTGCACACCGTCGTCATCTGTGCATCAAAAGATCGAGACCACCAAATGGAGACCATATGTATACATATATATATATATATATATATATATATATATATATATATATATATATATATATATATATATATATATATGCAGTATGCTTACCAATGCACATCCACTTTTAGTTATACATATGTATGTATATATACATATCTATACATATATATATATATATATATATATATATATATATATATATATATATATATAGATCTACATTGGCACAGTATTGACTGATTAACAGCATACTGGCATGACCCACCGCTGGGTCGGCGAGGGCGCGGAGAGGCGCCCAACTCACTGTTTGCGCAGCTGCGTCTCGTCGACGTATCGGTTCTTCACCTCCTCCAGCCGGCTGATGAGCTGGTCGAAGGTATCGTGGTCGATGACGAGGCAGGCGACGCCGTCCGGGTCGTCGGCCACGATGTTGGCCGTCCGGATGTCCTCGCTGCCAGCCGAGGTCGGGTCAGGTCAGGTCGCTTTAGGTCGGGTCAAGTCAAGGTCGCTCAGGTCGGGTCAAGTCAAGCGGCGAGACATTTCGCTTTACGCTTGGCGCGTTATCGTTGAGACGGGCATGTTCAATTGCAGTGGTGGTCGGTGAGATAGAAGCATGCACCAGCGAGGATAAATGGAACAGGTGGAGAATAGTTGCCACGCTCACGCGTCACGCGTCACGTGTCACGCCCACACCACGCTCGTGACGTGGAGTTTTTGCCACGGCGTGCGTTTATGGCGTGTAATGTAAAAATTACGCGCGAATATCTAAGGCCTGAAAGAGCTGCAGCATAACTTTTCCCTCGCAGCTAACTTTCTTACATAAGAAAACGCTCCATCTGGTTAGATGACATTGGACGTTCGCGAATCAAACCAGTAACCTTAATTGGTAACGGAGTCCTCGGGTTTACTTCACAACAAATTGGTTCCTGCGATGGTAAAATGCATGTCCCAGCTCAGTTTCAGTGACGCGATGGATAATTAGCACGTGTTCTACTCAAATGCGTTAGAAGTTCTGGCTCTGCTCGACATAACCCTGCTCGACAAGTTTTACTCTAAAAGCTGACGTCCTATTTGCCTACTGTTTTGGCACTTGATATTTGGTATTTGGTAGTTAGTATCTGGTATTGTGGTATTTTGATATTTTGTATTTTGATATTTTGGTATTTTGGTATTTAGGTATTTAGTATTTGGTATTTTGATATTTTGGTACTTTGGAATTTTGGTATTTCTAAGGCTGGCACTACTCTGATCTGATTGAACGGCCTGCCTGCAGTTGGCCATACATGCTGGCTTTACGCTGACACCTGTCGATGTCAAATCCCTTACGCTGTCGCTTTTAGAGACAATTTAAGTTTATAACCAATGACAATGCAGAAAAAGGTTTATAAAACACGCAGTTGGAAAAGTAAGCTACAAATCCGACAGCGAGCACATAAACTTTCCATGACCTGCATTTGAATATTTATACGACCTGAGCACAAGCTACTGCTGGGTCGGGCCCCCGCTCCGTCCCCTGTCGCTACTGATGCGGCCTTGAAACGGGTCAGGCTTCCCACCTGATGGCATACGGTGCATGTCAGAGAGCCTTGTTGTACCGTCAGGCCACGTACCCGCATGACCCCGAGCTCAGCTCAGTCCGCAAGACTGCATCACGGTCCATGGAAAACATTGACATGCAGCGCGACTTTCAAAGGCCTACGTTCGAAATTCTGAGCGCGCTTTGTTGTGTGTAACTCCCGAACTCGAGCCGGTCGGCCGACAGACCAAACGCCATGCCAGAGACGAAGGGCCAGAGTATACCGCCACCGCCGCCGCATCCACCCGGACCCCGGTCACGAACGCCAACAAATAAAGCGCCAACAGCACTTCAGTCATCGACCGGCCGCCGCAGGTCGGCACGCCAGCTCTCGCGCGCCTCCTCCGCCTCGGCGCGCCCGACGACGCCGCGTGAATATTTGCGAGATTAGCCGGCAGGCAAAATTAGCCGGAGCCCGTGCCGCCGGGAGCATTTCCGCTACGCCAATAAGGCCCCGGAGCGACGCCAAAACAAAGCCGACTGCCACGCGGGCCGGGCCGGGTCGACGATGTATCCCAGACGCGTGAGCGCTTCAGCGGCCACGCGCTGGTTGGTGGGTCACGCCTGCGTGACGTCATCATATGACATGTCTGTAGGTACGTAATGACGTCTAAGACATTCTCCGACGTAAGATGGCTGTTCCTAGTGTCGAGTGGGTAAGGTTGAGACCTTTCAGGTGAGACATGTTAAAAAGGACACCCGTAGCAGCAGTCAGAGATCCATTAAAGGTATACACAGGAAACACGATTCAAGCACACACACACGTACACACACTCTCACACGCACACGCGTGTGTGCACACACACAGACACAAACACACACATATTTCATGCATATTTACACACCCACACAGATTTCATACATACAAACACACCCACACAGACACAAACACACATATTTCATACATATTTACAGATATACGTATATCTATATATCTAACAGATAAATATATATGTACATATATCTGTATAAAGGCATACAATATGCAGCCATCAAAGTTCCAGCTAAAGGGGGGGGGGCAAAGTACGTGACACGCGGGGATTAATGGATATAACGTGGATCGGAACTATATCCATCTTACACCAGCGTTCCTCAAACCCCTCCGGCTGAGCTGACAGCCCGACATAAGTGTGCAAACACCCGGATGCCACAAACACATATGAAGATCGTTACACTGAACCAAAGCAAGACTATGCCACTGTCGCAAAAACAACATAAAAATATTCCACTCGATGAACTGAAGAAATGCCGGCAAATATTGTTCTGCGACGTGAAAAGAGGATGCACGACTGTAACTGTGCATCCAGACACATTTAAAATTACGTAACTTTTCAAGTGCGTTTGCAAGGAATGTTATTCACATGGATAAGACAGTAGTAAATGTCTTATTCCTCGGAGAAAAACCAGGAAATCTATTTATTCACCAACCCATTTATTTACCAACTTATCTATTTACCACACCAAGTTGTCTCCATTCTCCTTGGTTTTTTTCCGAGGAATGGAATGTTACTTATTTACTATAGCCTTATTTCCAGGAATAAGACTATACTACAGACACATTTAAGTTGCACAACACGTCAGTACAGCACAGCACGGGGACACAGTATATCAGCACAACACGTCAAGTATTATATATCATATATATATATATTATATATATATATAATATATATATATATATATATATATATGTATTATTATAATAATGCATATAAATAGATATATATATATAGATATAGTATATATTTATATATGATATATCTATATATCTATATTATATTATATATATATTATATATATATATATACAGCACAGCACGGTGGCACGGCACGTCAGCACAGCACGTCAGTACAGCACGTCAGCAAAGCAAGGCAGCACAGCACGCTAACACAGCACGTCAGCAGGGCACGGCGGCACACCACGTCTGCATAGCACGTCAGCACAGCACGGCAGCACAGCACGGCGGCACAACACGTCTGCACAACACGTCAGTAGAGCACGTCAGAACCACGTCAGAACAGCACGTCAGCACAGCAAGTCAGTACAGCACGGCAGCACAGCACGTCAGCACAGCACGTCAACGAAGCACATCAGCACAGCATAGCGGCACAACACGTCTGCACAGCATGTCAGCACAGCACGTCTGCGCAGCACGGGCGCGTCTCTTCCATTGCACCTCGCCAGTAAGTGTGAGTGTGTGCGTGTGTGTGTGATGTGTGCATCGACCACAGCCCAGCCTCTGCTTCTACCACAAGCCAGCGTCGCTTCCCATTCGCGGTTCCAATGCTTTAACAGTGTTTTATTCCGTTCGCGATCTGAGAGAGCTGTCAAACGACGTCTTTCCGTTCACGATTTAAAGGCCCTGTCAAACAGCGTCTTCCCGTTCATCATCCAGGGGCTGCAACAGCGTCCATCCTATGGGCGGGTGGTAGCAGAGGCCAGGTCGGGGGGGGGGGGGAGGGGCGGCGTTCTGCACGGCTTACCCCTGCAGAGCCTTCTCGCCGAAGAAGTCACCCTTTCCGAGGGTGCGGATCAGCTTCTCCTCCATCGAGTCTGGCGAACGCATGGTCACGTTCACCTGCGGAGAAGCAGCCGAGGTCAGGTCAGTCAGGCCAGGCCGCGCAGACGGGGTGGGCCAGGTCATTCAGATTAGAACACTCTGCTCCCGCCGCCAGGACACGCCCAGTGAATTCAGGTCGGGCTATCGATTGACCGTGTCACTGTAGTCAGAAATGCAGATTGGAATGTCAAGATCAAACCATTCGGATGATTCAGCCTCAGGAATCGAGTTCAGATCGGCAAATTAAGTAGGTAATGATGCTGCAATTCGGGCTCCCCAACTTCCCCGCTTCTAATAAACGACGGCCAACATCATCGAACTGGTTTTTTAACGAGCTAGCCACCACACGACGCACACGAAAACTGTACGAGGCACACTCCAGGCGCACACTGCTTTAACGCCACTTATCAAGTTGGATTCTCCAAATTCTCATCCACTGAATCGATTGTCACTTCGGATTCCCTCATCTCATTCACTTGCACCCTCGGTGAAAATAAGTAGAGCTCGGCGCCCCACCACGAGACACCATCGAATCACGTGGTAGATGGGGAGCTGTCACCGACACGTGCCCCACAAAGTGCATTATCGTCGTATTACACGACGCACCAGGGTCCGCTATCGAATCAAAGCCAGGGAGACAACTCCGACTGCTCCGCGCGTGCGACGGCGTCGGCAACGAAGATCCCTGAATATCACGTGCGACGGGATCGACAGTGAAGACCACACATCCTGAACCCAAACAAGAAGGTCGTTGCTAAAACTAAAAACAAAAAAAGCTGAAAAGCTTATTGGACTCAAGGTGAAGAGCGTGATATTCTTCGTTCTCAACTAGAGTGTCTCCACTCGTTTTGGTCCATAATAATTTTTGCGTAAAATGTGCTGGAAAAATTTGATTTTAAAAAATGTTAAAACCGTAAAAATATGGTAGGCATAAGCATTGACAACCCAGCTCCCAGTGCATCAAGCAGCACCTCCCAGCATGAACGGGATCAAGGAGGAAGAATACAAGGGCAGCGGTAACGGAAATCTTAAAAAGGAAACCTGTGCGTCTTTTTACCGAAAAGCGTAACGCACAGCTATGCTTTCTAGTGTTGTCACGCTGACGATTCAGCAACGCTACTATGGTGCCAAGTTTGTACCGTTCTGCTGCGGCTCCATCCCAGTCGCGAGCGTTGTTACGAGCGCCCCTCCATTTGGAACGCCACCCTGACATTTCTATGGCGTCACCCTGACACGACTATGACATCACCCTGAGCGCTTATGACGTCATCCTGATGTCCTGAAGTCACAATGCCGCCATACCGACGTCATTAAGAGAATTCCACTTCACCCGAGGGTCACATCACCGTCACTCCACACACTGCGACGTCATTGCGACGTCACACTGACGTCTTCGTGACGGCACACTGACGTCACGCAGACGTCAGGCGGCCTGCGCCAGCTTACCCTGCCCCTGCTGATGATGTAGAAGGTATCACCTCTGGCGCCCTGTCGGATGATGTAGTCACCCTGGCTGTAGTACGTCTGAAATCAGAGGCCCGTAGCGTCAGCCATGGCTAAAACAGCCTGAGAACACCGAGAGATCGACGTCAGCAGAGAAGACCTAACCAATCAGCCTTTCAAGACTCGAGGATATCAGCTAATATTCAAATGCGGCGGATATTGAGCACTGAAAACGTTATACGGGCGGCAGGAACTCGCCAAACATCCACCGAAACCTAAACGGCAATTCACGTTGTGCATCATTTTAGGCTTCAAGAAATACAACGATTCTCTTTCTGCCGAAGGGTTACCCTAGCCTTAGCCTTACACCAGCTGCACGCTGTCCCGTCTAAACGCACGTTGTCATCAGCACCCGACACAAAGATCTGCAAAACGCCGCTCGTGCAGCCGGGCTTTGGGTCGCCGTTCGTCACAGCGCTGGGAAAAAGTCACACTGCGGCACGTGATGGCATACCACCATCGCAGCAGCCTCCAATGAAACCCGTCCTGCAAACGGTGCCTTGCACGCACGCTGCAACGCAAGGACCCTCTGACTGCACGCCAAGAAAGACGCGTGTTGTCAATATCAGGAGGTATTACAACTTCCTGTGCGTGTAGTCCTCTTTGTTCGCACGGTACCTAAGCTGCCTTTATTCACTCAAGCGCCGCAACAATGGGGTGATTTTTCCTACGATTTTTTATTTTTTCCTAATTTTTCCTACGCTGACCCCCAGTGCTAATGCCCCTGTATGATGTGACGGCCCCAGGCCGGAACACAGCTGATGCGAGCATGTTAACAGCATGGCACCTGCTATAGCCAAAGCCGAATAGGAATCTGAGACGACGTACAAAAATTACCAAGAACTGAATCCGCCTATCGGAGCAGTCCGATGACAAAACTCAGCCGACTGCGCCGCGCACCAGCATGAGCGCATAACCCATGACAGAGGCAGGGGGAGGGGGGCGTTCGTCACATGAAAGATCGACAAAAAGGAACCTTTCTTCATCTAGGCCCGGCTCTTGGGCTACCAACTCGCTCTAGGCGTGGTGACCGCAGCCTGCCAGCACCACAGCGACTCGAGGTTGCGCAAGTCCAAAGTGCACGTGACACATCGTGTTGTCAATGGCGCGCAATGCGCCACAGCGTCGCCTCGCAATGTTCCAAACACTGCCAGATATGTGGCAATTGTTGCGCAGCAGCCACCGCAACGCTACAGAAAGCCACGCTGGAATCCCAGAAGCGTCCAAAGACAGGAGGATCATCCTCACCTCCTCCAGCACGTCTGCCAGCTTGATGACCGTCTCCTCCGGCAAGTTCTGGAAGCTCGGCACGCTGTAACACAGGAGCTGACATCAGGTGCTGGCCGTGGACGTCCGTGACGTGCCACGCTAGTTGGGAGCTCACACCGGCTCTGCTTCCAGCCAGGCGTAATGACGCCGCTCGCATCCGCCAAGAAAAAGGCACACAAAAAGAGGAAGAAAAACGCGGGTAACATCTGCCGCCGCGAGACCCATTCCCAAACGCAAATCGTTTTGGTCCAAGCCATGATCAGCTTTTTCTCGAAAGTGGATATCAACGTGAAGCCCCTTTTCAAGCTGCAACCCACGCGTTTCAGTGGCGCATCGTGAAATGCGCCATTTTTCGCATACAATCCATATTCCTGGCTTATACGACTGGTTACCTCCGAACGTTTCCAGAGGCAAGGCCTTCCCCAATCACGGCGGTTACATTGCGAATGCAGTGAAACATCTTCATCGGCAATGTAACCAGACTCCACACGGCAGGCTCCCCCGTGCGCTAATGCTCGGCAATGCCCAATCGAGTTCGGTACTGAATGCCTCAATGTACAGCAAGGACGTCACTGGCTTTTATGCTGCGGTCACTGCGTTGTTTGTTGCAACATTGCATACTGCCGGCGCATTGTATTCTCTCTCATCATCCACCATTTTATAAATTGAAGTGCTTAGACCGCTTGCACCTTGTACTGCGGAATCCTGACTTCCTAAGTAGCTCTAGTAGCTCTAGTAGCTTAGTAGTTAAGTAGCTCTGTATTTAGCTCTCTGAGTAGGAGGCTTTTATGCTCGGACAACAATAAGGTTAATGCCTCCCGGGATTCGGCTGTAGGCCGTCCCGTAACACGATTTCGGAATTCCCTGAACACGGAGGGTACATCAGAAATGAACGAGACTCCAGCGTACCTTACATCTGGCGAACTTTGCCTGGACTCGAGGTGCGCTTTCACTATGCACAGGTTCTTACACTATCCAGCGTTATGGAATATGCAGGCTATGGATGCCCCGACCCGAGTCGGACATCATCTAACATTAGGCTGATGTTGAATTGCATGGCGGTGCACGGAGAGGAAAGGATTGAAATGTTTCTGAGCCGGCAAGACGCGTCCCGTCCCTTCCCCAATGATGGAAGACTTCCCTTGTTTGGGACATTATGGTAGCGCATGTCCCTTAGTATTGTTGCATCACAGGCATGCAAAACTCACAAAACATCCCGACAGCGGTTGCAATCCAGCGCAAACACGTGAAGTTCTTTCGAGTTTGGAACAATTAAATGCTGCATTTTCCGCTGTTGCATTTCGCATTGGCAGCGTCGCTGCGCCAGATTACACACTACTTGGCATTTAGCATGGAGCTATGTGGAATCTACATTTTAATGACGACTATATTTGAGCCCCGCCCCCAGCGGTACCATAAGCTATCGCCCACAAGGCTGGGCATTTCAAACCGGCCGTTGGAGGAAAGGATATGAACCAAATTTGTCCGTTATTCAATTAGATCATACCAAGCGCCAACAACTACCCGCGCTCCGTTCTCGTCCAACATATAAGTTCACGGCTCTGGGAGGCCACTGTGGCGCCGGTGAACTCACCGAAGACAGTAAAGCCACCTTCACTCACTGTTCAAACGCAGACGTCGCACCACAAAAAGCCTACAACACACTTCCCACCCGACCAGCTTACCGCTGTCAAATCGCTAGATCAGCCTATCAAATCGTTAGATCAGCCTATTAAACCGTTAGATCAACCTCTCAAGTCCCTAGCTCAGCCTACCACGCCTTCAGATCGTTAGATCGGCCCCTCCTATCACCAGATCAGCCTATCTTGTCTTCAGATCGGCTCCACCCAGCAGCGTTGCCGCCTCCTAACCACGCGAGGGACACTCCTCTGGCATCGACGCATATACTCGGACCCTGCCCCGACCTGACAGGGAAGCCGCGACGAAAAACGCCGCCGGCCCCCCGCCCGGGCGTCGGCGCCCAGCCGGGGCGGCTCTCGGGACCTGATGGAGAGGGGAAGCAGCCCGGCAAGTGGCAGGGTACGTGACGAGGGAAGCGACAAGGCAAGCGACGGGGGAGGTGACCAGGTAGGTGCCGAGGGAGGTGACGGAGTGGTCACGAGTGGGCTGTGCGTGGGGCAAGGCCAAGAGAGGGGCGGTACATGGGATGACGTCAGCCATGACTAACGGTAGGTAAATGAACGGTTGAGACAACTGGGCAGTCAGCTGACTCCGATCGAGCCATGCTGGGCCAACTAGCAGGCATTTTCGCAGTTTTTTTTTTGTTCAGCGTTAAAATACTTTTAAAAAAATTCCAGAAACGCTGCGCACAAGCTTGGGATGCTAGCCAGCAGTAAGAAAAACAATGCTGTCAGGCTGTAATGTTTTGTTTTTTTGCACAGGCAACGTGCCATACTCAACGCAACATCGCACTACATCGGAAAAAAATCGAGCACGGCCATACACGCAAATTTCTCGAATGCTTTCATACTTTTGCGCAGTAACCCTTGGTACAAACTGTTAGTCACAAGCTAGCGCACTCAACTACATTCCGCTTAAACCGCGGAGAGCCACGGTTCCCACGACTGAATCTGATCGAATGGACAGAAGAGAATGGCGTGATCGGCATGTCCGGAAAAACAGCTCTTCACTCTGGCATGTCAGGATTGCACAGTTTGGTGCCGGCGCCTTTGCATAATGCACGGCTATTCGGTGGAATCCCACAGCAGGAACGCGTAGCGTCTTCCACCGAACTTTGAGTTTGATACGAGACTTGCATTTTTGCATTCCAGCGCCAAGAGAGACTATCGTTTAGAGTTCATCAAGTAGCTTGAAGAAAAAATTAAAAAACTACCCGCCGTCACAGCATAACTGGCCTTTCAAATGATACGCATAAAGGAAAATCATCACTAACGTTTGCTTTTCGTTTCCACCGCGATCAACATCTCTGGCTGGTAGCCACAGTTGCCAGCTCAATTTCTATTACGCACCCGCCCACTTCAAACCAGCAACGACGAGAAAGCCCCATGCCGTCAAGAGCCTCCCAGCTCCCAGGAAGCTGCCGCCTACCTCAGCCCCTTCTCCACCCCCCCCCCCCCTCCCCCCCCTCCCCCCGCCCCGGGCCCCGGGCCCCGGGCCCCGTGACGCCCGTGACATTTCCCAGCGGGGGAGACATCACATCCTCGGCCGTCGCCACCGACAGCGGCGACCAATTGCGTTGCGCGTGATCGGCGCCGCCGCAGGGTCCGTCCTGGGCTCGGCGACGCTCCGCCGGCGGGAGCGCTAACGAAGTCGGACGGCGCGCGCCGATCCCGTCGCGGCACGATGTCAGGTTTGGATGCCGCTTTATGGGGAGGCGCGCGCAGCGGCGGAGGAAGACGAAGGGAAAAGGGGGCAGCTTCCTAGGACCCCGGAGTGGGAACTCCGAATTTTTCCAAACTAATGTCGGCTTCTCAGAACTTCGGAGAGTTAGCGGTAGTGTGCTGTATGTACGCTGTTTGAGCACGCTGCACAGTGCGACGTGAATCGAGAAACGTTTCCTGATTACCGGATGCTTTTTTCTGATTCTACCGGATGCTGTTCTACCTGGTTGTTTCACTGGATACTGTCAGTACCCACTTTGTTCTTATTACTTGCGGTTATCGGGCGCGCCGACTGCAGAGCTCAAACTGCGCCGAAAATAGTGATATTTAGTTGCGGCAGCCGTAGGCCGACGACCCCCCAAAGTTGTGGAGCTTGCTACGCCACTGGCGCCGCAATCTCCGCGCCCCGCGGCTGTGCCGCGGGCTGTCGGCATTGACGGGGAATCAGCGGAAGCTCGCCGCGTCTGGTGCACTGGCGACGGTGACCCGCGCCGCGTTATGTTCCGGTCTGGCTCTGCCTGATGGGCTGCTTGTCACGTCAGTGTGATGTGCTCATCAGACCCGACGGCAAAGATGGTGGTTGCTGGTGCTGCATATATACCAGGTTGACCCCTCAATGCTAATGAGGCCGATACAGTGGGTGGCGCTCGATAAAAGGGCGTAATGACGTGTGTCCACCTGCCCTTGAAGATAGGCCGGAAAATGCATCATTCGCGGGAGACATAAAGAAGCAACTGCGAGTCACGGCTTGTGGTGAGGTGGGTGGTTCGACAAGGGGCCAAAAAGTCTCGTGGGAAGTTCCACCCAACGGCCAAAAAGTTCGGCAAAACACACAATGTTCCCATATTTATTAAGATTGTTGGGCGTGTGCCTGAGTGTTTCTCAGAGAGAGAACACTTTGTTTTCGTGGCAGGTACATCCCGCTCTGAGTTCAAGTCTCGCTGAGCGATGACACTGAGAACTGAAGCGGAACGTCAACGCTATGTATTGAGACACGCAGCTGCCTTCAGCAACATATCTGGGTCAGTGCAGGGAGATGGATCACCTCCCAAGGCATTATGATTTTGTATGCTGGATATAACCAACCTTCAATAAACCAGAAGGCACTAATTAAACGAAGATATCAAACAACTATTGGATTCCAGCCGCGATTCCGTGAGTGGTATACTTGTATTCCGTGACCGGCCCTACATAAATCAGCGATGTTCAGAAGTCAAAAGTAAATGACAGGAGGAGCGGGGAACATTACCCTGTCCATATTCCCCCAATATCTCACTGATTGGTCCAGCTCGTCCTCTCTGCCAGGAGGGCTGCTACCGTTGGGGTGACCGTTCTAGTTGGGGTGACCGTTTCAGTTAGGGTGGCCCTGACAGTTCCAGCCCGTCTCCTCTGCCAGGAGGGCTGCTGCCGTTGGGGTGACAGGTCTAGTTGGGGTGACCGTTCTAGTTGGGGTGACCGTTTCAGTTAGGGTGGCCCTGACAGTTCCAGCCCGTCTCCTCTGCCAGGAGGGCTGCTGCCGTTAGGGTGACCGTTCTAGTTGGGGTGACCGTTTCAGTTAGGGTGGCCCTGACAGTTCCAGCCCGTCTCCTCTGCCAGGAGGGCTGCTGCCGTTAGGGTGACCCTGACAGTTCCAGCGTAAAAAGGAATAACAATATTCAGCCACATGAACATTTCGTTCCAAAGCTGAACTGACCATATCAAATGGAATGCTCTAAATTTTAAGATATTGAAGCAAGCATCACATGTGATGAAATAAGCTCACTTATGACTAGAAGTACGCCTTTAAGTGGAAAAGACTGCTGTAGACAAAATAATCTATGTGTCTGGTAAACAAATTCCTCAATACGTTATTGCCTAATTACATCATCATGCCGTGCACAATGCTCATTGAGAGCCAATTGACGGTCGTTATATGTGAAAATCGTGCTCATAAACGCCAGCTATAAACGACTCGATAATAAGATTTTCCTTGGCCTTGATCACCCATGGCCAAAAGAACGGCAAGATTTGAATGGTGTTATTATGGCGTCATGGATGCCTGGGTAACCTGGAAATAAATAAACCCGCGAAATAGTTACACATTTTCGCGGGCGTGCAGCCCAGAAACTAGAGAAGTTTAGGCCTTCAGAAGGGCAGGGCGGTGAACTGCACAGAATGAATTCACGATGGCGATTTCCGTTAAACAATATACACATGCGGACCACTTCCTTCAATCGTCTCAGCGCTGGAAACCGAACCGGCGTGAGCAGACTCCGCCGGTGGGGTGGTTCATCACACGCTCACTAGATGGCATGAGGGTTCACAGCGGACACGGCCGCCGGCGGTCAGCAGGAAACACGACGGCGGCAGCTGCTCACCTTTATGCGCATAATCACCATCGACCACGCTATTACGTTGTTTGTTCACCATGGTTCACCATGCCTGACCCGCTTGCTCGCACGCGGTACCTGCTAGGCAATCGCCGTCCCCTGCTTCCCCGGGGCTCCATGGGGAAACCCGACCGGTGTGGCAGTGGTGGCGGTGGTGATTTGGTTTTTAAGGGCGCGTCAGCATCGGGACCATTTTGCGCCCACTCGATGACGGTTATCTACCTCTGCGACGACGCGATAAGTATGTTGTCAACTAATAACAGGTAGTAACACTGGCGCACTTACACTGAGGGGTGAGTGAAAATAACGTCAAAGTCAATGTGTGCTAAAAATGCGAGTACATCTCCAACTTCACCAAATGGGTCTCGACCGAGTAACCGATGCGGGCCGACGATCGGTGTCGGCTAGACGGGCACTGCCCCCTAAGCCGCCTCGGCTGCTGACGCACCGCAAGCGTGGGTCCTCGGCCGCGGGGTCAGTTGCCGACGCTGCCTAATGATCGGCCGACGGGTTGAGTGGACTGAGGCAGCAAGTCAACGATGTTGCCCCAGCTTTAGCTGATGTTGCTCCAGCTTTAGCCGATGTTACCCGAGCTTTAGCCGATGTTACCCCAACTTTAGCCGATGTTGCATCAGATTCAGCTGGTGTTACCTCAGCTTTAGCCGATGCTACTCGAGCTTTAGCTGATGCTGCCCCAGCCTTAGTCGATGTTGCCCCAGCCTTAGATGATGTCGCCCCAGCTTTAACCGATGCTGCCCCAGCTTTAGCTGATGCTGTCCCAGCTTTGGCCTATGTTGCCTCAGCTATGCTGTCCCAAGCTTTGGCCTATTGTTTCCTCAGCTTTCAGCTGATGTTGCTCCAGCTTTGGTCCGATGTTGCCCCCAGCTCTAGCTGTTGCTGCACCAGCCTTGGCCGATGTTGCCCCAGCTTTAGCTGATGTTGCTGTCCGGCTTTAGCCGAGTTACCCCACTTCTTAAGCGATGTTACCCCAGCTTTAGCCGATGCGGCCCCAGCTTTGGCCGATGTTGCCTCAGCTTCAGCTGATGTTGCCCCAGCTTGAGCCGATTGGTTTAGCCGCGCCGAAGCCCGAGAGAACAGATCAAGCGGCGGGCTGACCGGCCGCCGTGATGGTGGAGCGGTGGACGGAGGATCCGAGTAAGCTGCTGAGTTAGGAGCCACGGTTGGCATTCTCAAAGCAAGACCTGTGTGATCAATCGCGTTCGATCTTGATTTCAAGCGCTTGCCTGTGCACCGGAGTTGGACGACGCGGCCACAGAGTTGCTTAATTCCCGTTTTTATGTAAGCCCATGCTCCAGCCCGCTGGAGGCGAATGCCTCAGCACTGGTCAATTGCACGAGCCTGCCCATTTTGCACTGATGTTCTGACACCTGACGTAACTACACCCATTATAGGCAAAAATCCAACAGCACAGATCTTGAGCGTGATAGCCATTGCTAAAGATTGGGGACGTCAGAGGCAGGTAGAAGTAAACCCAAGAGTTTGCAGACATGTGAAAGCAATAGCGAGGGGAGAATACCATGGTGGATCTTTTCTGCTACGATATACAACCTCCCCTTACGACGCGGTGCATTGTCAGACATCCATTTCATGACCTCATCCCCTTCGCCTCTGAGTAAATCCTAATGCGCAACAGCCAAAGACGCCAGCCTGCCGCAAAGTGGACCGGAAAAGTTCCCGAGGCGGGATTCGAGCCCGCGATGCCTCGGCTTACAGATCTCCCAGTAGACGCCGAACCGCTCGTCCTCCGCACAGCCAACGCAGGCGCGGTAACCACCACGCTACCGGCACCCCTCCGAAGTCCTCACTCCTCCTCACCTCTTGAGGAAAGCGGTGTATTCGGCCTGCTTCTGCAGCCCCGTCCTCATCATGATCGTCTGGAAGCATTGCCGCTCGATGGCGAACAGCTTGCAGTCCGTGGCGGCTGTCGACATTGGGTCAAGGTCAGAGGAGGTTAGAGTTCAGAGGTCACCGCCGTGTCACAGATCACAGGTCAACATCAGGTCACACACACACACAAGGCACTGTTGAGAACATGTGACGAGTTACAAAAAGTAAGATTACAGGTAGCGAAAACAATATTGAGCCTTTCAAGCACACGCTAAGCCGGACAAATTGCATGGAATACTTGAAAGAAAAGGTTGCGCACACGCATTACAGATGACAGCAGGTCGTTTTGCCCTTTCAAGCTTGCGTTGGACGGCGCAACTCGAGAAAATGCTTCAAAGACATGCAAAATGAACTCTTCCACGCAAACCAATTTTGTACATACACAGCCGTACATCAGAAAAATTTGCAAATATAACTACAGTTGCCGCCCCATTACAACGGCCATTTAAAGTTCAAACGAAGATCACTCCGAAGCCTCGGAAAAACTACGAGCCAGTCTTTTGGTTTCTTACTTCTGTTTCTCCCGCCTGATACGTCTGTTCGGTGAAAACGGAACGCGGTCCGTTCCCACCCCATGTCATGAGGACATTCTCAAAGCAGAACATACGGCCGTTGTGCTGATCCGCCCAGCAACAGCGCCATTTCAGCTTGACAGCCTGACGCTCGCATCATCATTCATCCGACGGTTTTTCGCAGTCGAGTTTTCTTCTGACATTCCCGCGTGCAAAGCTGGGCGCTTCAATGCTTAATCCATCACTGTCCTATCCACGAAAGCTCTCAGCCTCTAAAGACCCGTTAACTCGTCGATCACAGCTAAACGCCGCGTGTCATAACCATTATCATCCGCTTAAGTCTGCAAAAGCCCACGCAATGCATCAGACCGCCTCTCCAGGATGGCCCGTCAACGACAGCAGCGCCGCGCGGCGGGATGTTTGGGAAGCTCGCCGGCAGTCGCAACGCGATCGCCGCGGAGCCTGCGTCATGGCCGGACAGAGCGTAGGAACGCGAGAGCAGCGGCAGGCGGCGTCTGCAGGGCCCCATAACGGGCGGCAGTGACGGACGACGACGCCGGCCGCCTCTGACGGCGCCAGGCGCACGTCCAGGGGCTCGAGAGGTCACACAGTTGTCCCGCCCGACAAAGGAACCGAACACAAGTGTCTCTTCAAAACGCCGGTCTTACTTATTATCAATTCCCTCCTGGATCCAAGAGGACAGCCATCAGCGAGCACCCGTTCCCACTGCCCTCCCCAAGAGCATCGCCTGGCCTCGCCCCTGGCCAGAGTGCCGTTGATCGCGTCGGGGCCAGTCAGCGGGTGTGATCAGCTGTTCGTCTTCGTCAGCTGTTCGTCTGATGGATTACCGGCCGCGTGGTGTTACAAATGAGGCGCCCCCGGACACCTGGCACGTGTGGGAGCAGTGGCGTATTCATGGGAACGGGGTATCGGAGGTGCGTGCCGCCCGCGTTATTATTTCTTTGCATGCATTTAGGTGAAACGTGAAAAAACGCCGGCGGTTTAAGGATAAAAGTACATACGTATGGGTGTGTAGATTGAAAACATGTGATGCACCTATGCGACCATGCGGCATGCAAGAAATCTGGCGCGTCCGATGCGTTAATAAAATGGGGTTTTCAGCTAGACAATTTGAGAGGCGTGACATTTATCACTGTAAACATTGTTTACTCTACCATGTAGAAGCTCGTGGAGGGGAGGGGAAGCTAGCCACAATATGAACGGAGCATGCATTTATACGATTGTAGGACTACAGCCGATGTTTCTAGCTTATGCCCAGCTCGTGCACTCCGCTCCGGAATAAGCCACATTCTGCCAACGCCTCGGATCGCCTTAACAGTACTCAACGAGTAAGATCGCCCATAGTGCGGCGCTTAGCCTGCGCGCCTGGGAACCCAGAGGTGCCGGATTCGATTCCCCGCGGTACCCGCCCTTCCTGCCAGGGTGAGAGGCAGGCGACGCCCTATAAGCCCAGCAGCTGAATACGGCGCAAATCTACGTCAAAACGTCCTAATGTATCACATCATTCGTATCCGGATGTCAAAATCACCTGGAGATGTCACGGCTGTCCGGGTCTGGAGATCACGGGTCCGCGGGTCACGGTCCTCTTGGACGCGCAAACGAGAACGAAACAGTAATGTACAGGGGACGAACAATTTCGTAACAGAAAAAATGGTCGCAATGCGGCAAAGGCGACGAAGCCGAAAAGGGTTGCGGGGCAGTGTTAGGGTTCCCCAGGTCAGGGCAGTATTAGGGTTGCCCCAGTTTCCCTGGGCCCGCCCACATGCCAGGCGGGCTGGGGCTGGTACGGCTTCCTCGCAATGGAAGACTCCAATAGCATGCGACGGAATACGACGAGCACTCCCCATCTATCTTCATAACACAAGATAAAACGTCCCCTCCATTGCCGATCCCCAGTCTCTAAATCTTTTCCCGTTCCCTAAATAAAAGTACCGCCCGACGCAAGAGAGAGCGTAACACAGCGCTTCGGAGGAAAATGGGAGTTGTGGTGAAACGCACGCGATTCTCCTTTTCAACGGCATGCTATATATCATTTCAACGGCTTGATACAAAATGTGGTTGGTCTCGTGATGCGCATGGCTACGGACGACGTCGCACTGAGACTATTAAAACAGTTGTGCCCATGATACACTATTTTTAGTACAGGTTGTGCGACATCAGGTCCCACAAAACGCAGAGCATCGATGTTATTCCACTTCTCTACATTTCATCGCTTTAAGAGACTGGCCAGACATTAATTCCGGACTTGGCACGCTCCAAATTTTAAGACATTTTTAGCGACGCTGCAGAAGTTGGTGTCACACGCACGAGCTGATCGTCCCGGTTCCAAACGATGAGAAATGGCTCCCCGTTGAATAATGCAACGCTGGATATAGCTCGCTCGATGCGCGCAGAATAGCCATGAGCGGCTACATCCCACTTTAGAAACGCCATACGCAGCCCTGAGCATAACGTCCAAGAAAGGTCACCCCACATCACCTGCGTGACGACGACCTTGCTTTAGCCACGAAGTTTCAGCGAAAACAACCAGGCCAAATACTACGTCCGTGCCTCTCATGTTCGGTGAGTCATCATTAACTTCTTAAGCACGATTACGTCGCATAAAACGCGTGACAAAACCCAGCCACCATCCCGACGATACGCAGCTGAATAATCTCGACACCGCCGTGACTGTCGCCTCGGAGAACTTCCTCAGCACCACCTGAGATTCGCCGGAGGCGAACGGCTGTTCAGACCCGGGGCCTCGAATTGTGAACAGTGTAACCCGATTTGGGGCTGTGAGCTGTCGCCGCCACTGAGGCCGGACGCATCGGGACACTAACCAGACAACGGCGCGTCCAGCCTGAAAATGGTCCGGTTCGGCAAAGCGCCAAGAGCTTTAAAAGGATCGCTCAAAGAAAAACAGAGGGCCATGGGAAAGGATGGCAGACGGGGGAGGGGGGGGGGGGGAGGAGGGAGAGTTAGCAGATGTCGGGAGACTGGTGGTGGGATGCTGTTCACCACTGATGATCGATGCATCGAAGGAACCGCTAGAAAGAGCGCTGCCAGAGACCGTTGGTGTCAGCGTTATGAAATTCTCAAAAGTGCGCGGCGCGCGAGATTCGGAACCAGACGTCCCGATCGCCAGCACCTGTGTTTGCCCGCCATTCTGAGAAATCAACTCCGACTCCGACTCGCAGTTCCTTGGGATGACGCCTGCACCGAGTCGAACGTCGCCATTGGCAATTTTGTCTCGTCTGTGACTCGAACTCGGGAGCAGCAGCGCCTCATTCTTAGAAGCGAATCCAACCCAGTCGATTTCGCCAACGGCCAGTTCACGTTCACGAAACTTCGCTGATTGCATGATCCACTCCGCCTCCACCAGCACCGAGCGCGGGCCCGCCGACAAGGTGTGAATTTGAGCCTTCCTTTGACCCGTAACCTGCTGTGACCTGACCTTTGATGGTGGCCGTGCGCTGGCAGTTGTAGAGGATGGCCAGCTCGCCAAACACCTTGCCCGGTCCCATCTGACTGAGGCTGCGCCCATCCTTGGAGACCTCCACCTGACCCTCTGCGGACAGCGGGGCATTGGTCAGCAAACGTCAGGGGTCAGACCTCCGCCTCACCCTCTGCGGACAGCGGGGCATTGGTCAGCAAACGTCAGGGGTCAGACCTCCGCCTCACCCTCTGCGGACAGCGGGGCATTGGTCAGCGAACGGCAGGGGTCAGACCTACGCCTGACCCTTTGCGGACAGCAGGGCACTGGTCAGCAAACGGCGGGGGTCATCAGGTCAGCAATGTCGGCGCAGTCCACGACGATGCGATTGCCCGACAGCGCAGGGGGTCACCGTTTAGAGTGACGGGCCTGTGGGTCTAACACTTCACCCCTTCAGCGCAAGGGAGAACAACGTCAGTCAAGGCCAACAAGTCAGCGACGCCCCGATCGCCTGAGGGTACAGAGTTTCTTCGAGACTGCGACTAGACTGGTCCACAGGCGGTCGCGAGTGAGATGTGACGCTCTGGAGTGGTGAACACCAGCACGACAGGCCCCCACAGAGAAGGTGTCGAAGAAGCAGCGGCAGGTGCGAAAACAAAGCAGGAAAGATGGATGTGTATAGAAGAACACCGGCAAACGTCCATAATTCAACTAGACATGCCAACACATGAACGGACATGGTGACGAACCAACGTCACGGCACGAGAGCAGGACCTGAAAACGACGGACAAAACAACTACAAACGGGGCGGTAGTACAACAGCACATGAACAAAAACACGCATGAAATGCAGCTAAATCGGCAAGAAGGCCAAACCTAGTCACGAATTTGGGGAAAGTAATGCTCCAGTTTGCCACGATAAGCCACCAACGTACCACATCACACACCTTACAAGGGGGTACCCCGCTTCTCAACAGCCGGGGGCATCCCGTGCCAATCAGGCTCGAACACATCCTAGCCAAGAGCTGAGAGACTTACGTCACACACTCACCCTAAACACCACACACAACGGTGTAGCATAACCCATGCTATGAACATGGCCGTCGACATAATAGACAAGCGTTCGGCCATCGACAGCAATCATCGGCGTCCACTGACAACACGTTTTTTCTGTGCACAGAACAGCAGCACAGCGCGCACCGAGATCACAACTACACGAGGCCATCGGACAGGAGCTGGTGCACGGGGCTGGCACAGGAGCACAAAAACACTGCTGACAAATGGTGCATGCTGGCAGCAGTTGGCCACTGCGTCCGACCGCGTATTGACGCCGCTGGATGTGGACAGCGCGAGATGCGCCGCTTCCAGCGCAGCCGGTTTGTCTCAACACAACGCGTCGCCCCCGCCCCGTCTCGATGAAGCTTGCCGTTGCGCTTGCTCGGGAAAATCGATTCTTAACGTCGCCAACGCGCTCGCAGTGAGCCGCGCGACCGGGCGGCCGCATTCCTGCAATCCCAGTAAAATCTGCAATCCTAATCGACATCCGCAGTCCAAACGCTGACCACTACACCAGTAAAGGGATCGGTGAGGTCAGTTAGACACTGCGTGACCGTATTAACAGACCCTCGGCGCTTTTTTCGACGCCGGCCCACTTACGATTTCTTGTGATCCTTAACTGATTACTTCCGTCATAAAAATACACGTGCACACTGTATTAAATGGCTCAAAGCAAATGCAATTGACGGACGGGACGGAGGCTCACAAATGTTGATGATATACCTACTAAAATGCCATCATCCCTCCCCCCCCCTCCCGACAAACAGGCCATACTCTCCGGACTATATGCGGTGGTGTACTATGCTATGCTACGATGCTATGCTATGCGACGCTATGCGGTGGTGTACTGGGAAAGAGAAGTAACACTCATGACCCAGCATTACGGCGGCGGCGGAGCGCACGGGTGAACCTGCACCCCAGCACATGCAAACGCCCGTGCTAACGCGCGACAAAGGCGTCACAGGGTTGAGCTCATGTCGCGTGACGGTGAGACATGGCGCTGTACGTCACGAAGCGAGACAACGTCCAGCACGCCAACGGGGGTGGGGGGATTGTAGCAATGCTCGGCAACAGCTCATGTGCGGCTTGTGCCATCTCGGGGCAGTCGACCCGGGTCCGAGCGAGCGAAATGGAGTAATCTCTTATATCCTCCAATTCCCTGAGCCCTCGCGTGATCGCCATGAGCCGGATTCCGGCGGCGCTATATTAGATGTTATTGAAACATTGGCATTTTAAGATGTCCGGGTTCAGACAACTGAAGATTGGCAAACGGCAGATGCGAGCGTGCCATTTCACGTCAGGTCGGTTCGTTATCAGAGAGCGGCGGATCAAAGGATTTCACAAAGAACTGCTATTGTTAGGCCCACAATGCGGTCGTGCCTGCCCCTGGCAGAATGCGCCAATAGGCGAAAGAAACCAAGCCAAGCGCCTTTCCGGAAAGTTTTGCACCTTCTGAGACCAGCTGGCGCCCGGCGGCCCCTACCGCGGTAAATGCGGGCGAGAGGCACCCTCACAGAAGAAAAAGGAGGCCGCGAGGATGCGACTCGCCAGCTGGGTACTGGGGCCGTGACGTCACACTCCGGTGCTCCCCAAATACAACAGCTCGGGCGCGTCTGCAGCACAGAAGGGACTGCGGATAGGGGCCGAGCGGCCGTCTGGACGTATCGCAAACAGACGCTTCACTAGCTGCTCGGCGACTGCGCAAATTTCGATCCAAAGTCGCGAGGGTTCGGAGGAAAATTGGCATTGCCCCTCCTTCCTGATGGCAACTCTGGTTATGGCCTGCGTGCCCGCTCCCCATCCGCCATTATCAACACTAAGCGCGACACCCTGCGCGAACGTCTGCCTCCGGCCGCCCTCGTCACGCGCCGCACGCCGCGGACGCATCGGACGTGCACGCGCCGGCCATGCGCCAGCCGTGCGCGCCAAACGAAAGTGAACATTGAGCGTCAGCCACTTCACAACGGTGGGGGAAAGGGACGTGCGTCGCGCCACGCAGCTGCTCACGCGGTAACGATAATGTCGCGCTCGCGAAGATTTACGGTGCGAAGTGTGAGCTAACGTTTTTATTTGTGTCCCAATAAGTTTCGCCCCGATGCGAATAAATACAAGAAAGACCAAATACTTTTTGGTCGCAGACGTTGCTTTGACTGGAGCAGCACGTTCGCGGAGTGGCATAATAGGCCGGAGCTACCTGCAGCGCCAATTTAACAAAGTTCTCTAAAAACATGCCAATGCTCTCAAACTTTAGGAAAACAAAGCTTCGTGAAAAGCGGCAGTGGATGAGTAACAGAGTCCAACATGCGGACAGATAAGAGCTCGCCAATAGCTCCTACGACAGATGAGGTTGAGACTTAAGCCCACAACTTGGCCACATACGCCGCGACGCCCGCATACACCGCCCTCCATGATACACCCAGCAACACTCGGCAGTACCCGTACACTGACAGGACGAACGACCTGGCCACGCACGCCGCGACGCCCGCATACACCGCCCTCCACGATACACCCAGCAACACTCGGCAGTACCCGTACACTGATAGGACGGACGACCTGGCCACATACGCCGCGACGCCCACATACACCGCCCTCCATGATACACCCAGCAACACTCGGCGGTACCCGTACACTGATAGGACGGACAGAAGGACTGCTCGGTCTGCGATGTCAGGGCTTGAGCCTGCGTAGCCGGGCATTCGCTCAGACACCACGAGCACCGCGCAAACGGCGCACGGCATGGCACGCACGCGTGAGTGCGTTACATCCAAGGATGCTGCGTTGGTCGGAGTATAACCTTGCCGTGGCGTTGAAATGACTCCATGACGTCAGTGGTATGAACCGCACTGGACTGAACACACGCAGCGTGGTGGAGCGTGGCGGAGTGCAACGAAACAAACCTGTACCAGTTCGATAGGAGTCACACCGACAGCGGTGCCATGCATACTGGAAAGTTGCGCGTTCAGGACGTTTGCGACGTTGCGAAAGTCCAGGACGTTTGTTTACCGGCGGCGCATTTGTTCTAATAGTGTTTTACAGACGGGCTTTTGATGCAACGACTGTCAAGATCCTGCCACAATGACTGCTGATTTATGGGTGATCCTGACAAAAAGAACGTGTTATGCATGCACTGAGCCCGGCATTTTCCCCAAACATTTTTCACGTTCACTTTTGTTCACATAAAACACTGCTGGCGCGGCGGTGGCGCGCGATCTTCGGCCTGCAAACAGCTCGAGGCACGCGCGCAGTACGGTTGCGCACACTGATGATCCCGAGATCATCCGCCGGAGGCTGGGCGCCGGTGCGTAGCCTGAGCCATCACTAAAACAAACGCCACCGCTTTTTAACGCGTTGCTTGACAATGGAAACAGAGCCGAATCTACAAAAACCCTGGCTGAGGCGATCAGGTCTCGAACAATACATGCCACACGCATTCAGGATGTAGTGTTGACTGCATGGCGCACTTGTCGTCAACCGGCATACCTGACTGGCCTTCATCCACACGACATACAAGCACGCATTACAAGTAATGGCCAAAGTCGAGTGATCAGCTTTGCAACCACCGCCCGACGCCGTCGGTCAGAACTGCCCTCCCAAAACGCTGCGCCAGCTCCCTC